GAGGACGGAGGGGAAAGGAGATCCCGAGGACGGAGGGGAAAGGGAGATCCCGAGGACGGAGGGGAAAGGAGATCCCGAGGACGGAGGGGAAAGGAGATCCCGAGGAGGGAGGAGAAAGGGAGATCCGGGAGGACAGAGGGGAAAGGAGATCCGGGAGAACAGAGTGGAAAAAGGCGATCACGGAGGGGAGGACGGAGGGGAAAGGGAGATCCGGGAGGACAGAGGGGAAAGAGAGATCTGGGAGGACAGAGGGGAAAGGAGATCCCGAGGACGGAGGGGAAAGGAGATCACCGAGGACGGAGGGGAAAGGAGATCCGGGAGAACAGAGTGGAAAAAGGCGATCCCGGAGGGGAGGACAGAGGGGAAAGGGAGATCCGGGAGGACAGAGGGGAAAGGAGATCCCGAGGACGGAGGGGAAAGGAGATCCCGGAGGACGGAGGGGAAAGGAGATCCGGGAGAACAGAGGGGAAAAAGGCGATCCCGGAAGGGAGGACGGAGGGGAAAGGGAGATCTGGGAGGACAGAGGGGAAAGGAGATCCCGAGGACGGAGGGGAAAGGGAGATGCCGGACGGAGCGGTGCTGCAGCCCGGCTGGCTGGGCGAAATAACCAGGGGGCGAGTGAGGAGGAACTTGTGAAGGTTGATACAGTGAGAGCCATTATTGCAAGACAGGAGGGGTATTTATACATTTTGCACAGCTTATCTTAATTAACATAAACTAGATACAGCAGTCAACCAATAAGGAATCTCCACACTTAATGATTACACACAGCTTAACTTAATTGACATAACTAGACACAGCAGTCAGTCATTAAGGAATCTCTATCATCTTAATGGCTCTCTGGCCTTACTTCTCAAACCACTCCCTCTGGCAAAATGCCAGGCGCCATCCTGACTTGTTTACGGACCCCGACAGAGAGGAAAGGAGATCCCGAGGACGGAGGGGAAAGATCCCGGAGGATGGAGGGGAAAGGGAGTCCCGGAGGACGGAGGGGAAAGGGAGATCCGGAGGACATAAGGGAAAGGGAGATCCCCCAGGACCAAGGGGAAAGGAGATCCCGAGGACGGAGGGGAAAGGGAGTCCCGGAGGACGGAGGGGAAAGGAGATCCGGAGGACGGAGGGGAAAGGAGATCCCGAGGACGGAGGGAAAGGAGATCCCGAGGACGGAGGGGAAAGGAGATCCCGAGGACGGAGGGAAAGGAGATCCCCCAGGATGGAGGGAAAGGAGATCCCGAGGACGGAGGGGAAAGGAGATCCCCGAGGACGGAGGGAAAGGAGATCCCCCAGGATGGAGGGAAAGGAGATCCCTGTCTGTGGCAGGACTGTAGAGGACAGAAGCTGCGGTCCGTGTCCTCCACCGCGATGAGCGAACTCGCCAACGGGGATGTGGCTCTAGAGGGAGGGCTCCCCTCTGCGCGGGGCGAGGTAAGTAAGTCGCCGCAGGATGCGGGCTGGATCCTGCCGCGTCCCGCACGCCAAGCGCCAAGCGAGCGCCCTAGGGTCTGCGCCCGCCCGGCCCCTGCCCTTCTCGGTGTCCGGAGCCACCTGGGGTCTCCGCCCTCCGGGGACACCCGACGGCCTCAGCAGCCGGGCAGCAGGGCGCACAGAAGAGGAACAGGAGAGAAAACACACAACCCCTGGCCTTCTGAGTTGGCTCGTTCCAAACTCGAGCTCCATCCGTTTCCTGTGACGGTTTCGTGTTCTTTAGGGCCGCACGTCTCCGCAGTGAGAGGACCTTAGCGCTGGGGAGAACAGGGAGCAGAGGTGCAGGTGTCACACCGCGCTTTCAGGCCGGCAAACCCAGACTCACTGGGTGGTAAAGAAAAGAGGCACTCACTCAGGACGGTAGGATATGGGGAGAATTCGCCCCATATCAATTATAAACAGAAGAGGAGGACACGGGGCCTCATTAGGGTATTAGGGTATGTATTAGGGTATGTATCTAGTTTATGCTAATTAAGATAAGCTGTGCAAAATGTATAAACAGCTCTGTTGTCTACAATAAACGGCTCCCATTCCTGCTGTATCAAGCTACAGAAGTTTTTCGTCACCCCCCCCCCATTCTGCTGCAGCCGGACTGCGGCACCATATCAGGATCATTATATGGACTATGGGCTATTTTCAGTGTCTGAGAATGATGTTTTTAAACGTGTTTATACTTTTTATATAGGAAAGCAGAAATCATCAGCGCACAAATTATTTTATGTACCCTAAACAACTGACGCTTGTGAGTCCTTCGATAGCTCAGTTGGTAGAGCGGAGGACTGTAGGGAGTCTGCTAATGGCCATCCTTAGGTCGCTGGTTCGAATCCGGCTCGAAGGACAAGAGTTTTGATCTAACACTGTTGTACAGTTGTGAGTAGGTTCTGCTGCTTACTGTTTAAGCCACGTCCAGAGTGGAAGCGGCAGGTGAGTAGGCCGAAGTAGCCCTCCTACCAAGTCCGCACTCACCTCCCCCCTCTGGAGAGTGCACTGACTGGTGGCCCCAGGACTTACTCCTTGTGGGAGGTTAGGTTTTATAATTTTTGGGTTCTCCGTCACCTTGGTACTTTCTGAAGAATTTTAAGGCGACATTTCGAACATTCACCGGAGCAAGACTTCATCCCCTCCGTTCAATCCCTTTGGCACACTCACCCACCGCCCCCACCGGATCCTTCCGCAAACCCGACACGTGTCCCCAGCTCCCCGCGTTCTGTTTGGGAAAGGTCGGTGTGCAGGGCAGCACCCCTCATTCCACCCGGATGCCCACGGCCCAGGAGTGGCGACAAGTGAGTGGCGCGTGCACCAGAGCTGTGTCTTGGGAGTGCGGCTGGCGCCTGTGCAGGGAGATGTCGCGCGAGCTCTGTGACCGCAGGCACTTGCTACCCGCCGTCACTCGGGGCTCACGCCCGGCCAGGCTCCGGGTGACCAAAGGCGTCAGCTCACAGCCCCTGGGGACCCGCGGCGGTTCAGGGCTGGCGCGGAGGGCGCCCCCTGGGGGACGGTCCGCGCCCGCCGGGAGCAGGCTGGGTGTGCGGCCGGATTCGCCCCGGGACTCGAGGGGACCCGGGCTGCCAGCGCCTCGTCCCTCTGCACCCGGCGACGTGCATTTCTAGAAGACCCTCACCAGGCCGGGTGCTCTTGCCTCCACGGAGAGGAGCCGGCTGGGAACTCATGAAATAACAGATGTGCGCTGCAGACTCACTGAACAGGATCTTTTGAAAATGTATTTTTCCCAGACGTTAGTTATGAAGAACTTCAATGAGTGAGGATCTTTTGTAGATAAATTAAGAATACAGTGTTTCCTAACTCATTAACTTCATGGGCTTCCTGTTTTCCCCGTCAGCGTTCAGGAGCCAGGAAGCTAAATGTCCCCCCTGGTGCCTGTTAGCAAGGCAAAGCTGACAGTCGTCCTCTAAAGGGGTATTTACACTTCTCTTATAGGTGAAGAGCGTGCTGTGTTTGCTGGTTTGCCCCATTACAACTGGGCGATATAGCATGAGATACCCAATTCCTAAACGACACAAAAAACACCTCTCATGTTTTGTGTCTATAACTTGCGTCGAACCCTAATTTTCCTGGTATTTCAGAAAGGTGCATCAATTTCCCAAATAAATTGGGAAGTACTGTGTTTCAAGATGGCGAGTCTTGAACCTAGCTGCCTACTTTTATGAAAACCTTACTATAATCATTCGGTTTCAGCAGCGGAAGGAGGCTGCTAAGCAGACGGAAGAGCAGGTGAAGTGCCAAGGATGGTCCAATCTATGACACTCAAGGGAGCGACTTGGACAATTGGTGGCAATTTAAGAGTTACATGAAACACTTGTGCAATAAAAAGCAGAAATCTTGAAGTTCGTGGGAATAAGTTTTTCGCGTACTTGTATAATCACTAGTGCTAGATCATTTTTAGAACATCTCTAATACCCTCAACAACTTCCTCCTGTTCACGTGTTTTCAAGGTGGATTTGAATAGTCAAAAAGTAGACCATGAATGCAATATTTAAACTATACTGCAGGAGGTTCCCAGCGTGCCCTTCGATAGCTCAGTTGGTAGAGCGGAGGACTGTAGGTGTGTACTTGTGGTCATCCTTAGGTCGCTGGTTCGAATCCGGCTCGAAGGAGTTGCCTTTTGGAAGGTTCCAGTCTCGCCCTGGGCTCTCTAGGATCCGTAGCTAGAGGATGCAAAAATCCAAAGCCCAAACAAACAAAGACACACCCACACGGGGTTCCCCAGGTACCCCCAGAGGAGACTGCTAATGCTTGACTGACAGACTGAATGAATCCTTGGAGGGAGGGAAAAAGCAAAGTTTGCTTGACTTGACTGAGATTCGACGGCCTTTTACGACCCTCTGTCACATTGGAACTTGTGAGAGAACATTTTAGATTCTTCTCTAAAGTACCAGTTTTAGAGAGCACTCTTGCGACTGTGGCTGTGGACATGTCTGACCACTGCGACCTCTGGGGAGTGTGGGTTTGCACTGATGGTCCCGAGGCACTCCCGAGGGCGAGGGCCAGGGTCGTGGGGGGGGGGTGGTTGCCAAGGCGCCGAGCAGGCAGTATTCAGGTGCGACCCAGTCCCGAGCGCAGGCAGCCAGCGCTGAGGCCCAAGTCGTGTGTGCATCCCGCACGAATTTGCAACATAGATAAATACGGATGGTATGTGTGGAGGATATATCATTGCACAATAGGGGTCAAGCAAGTTCTCTAATCGTCATACAAATTTTCAAAACATTCTCAACGCCTCGCCCTGAATCTGCTTCTCCCTTCCGCCCTCTAGGACCCAGCCCCCTGTGCTGACCCGTAGTCCCTCTTGTCGTCGCCGCCTCAGGCCGCAGGCCGTCGTGCACAATCGCGTCACGGCAGCGGTCGCTTTACGGCTGTCTTGTTACGTAACTTCCGGCTTGGAGCTCGGCTCTTGGTCGCGCCATCGGAAGCGACTGCTTTACGGCTGTCGTGCTTCACGTATCCTCGGCATGGAGGCTGAGGAGGCTGAGGCAACTTCGGAGGAAGGGCCGTTGGAAGCGCCAAACCCGAAATCAGAGGCGGAGGAGGAGCCGGAGGAAAGCGAAGAAGCAGCTTGCAGCAAGAAGCGGGTGGTGCCGGGCATCGTGTACTTGGGGCACGTTCCGCCGCGCTTCCGGCCCCTGCACGTCCGCAACCTGCTCAGCGCCTATGGGGAGGTCGGGCGCGTTTTCTTCCAGGCGGAGGGTGAGTGCCCAGGTCTGGGCGGCGGGGGTTCGGCTCCGAGTCCCGCCCTCGCGCCGACTCGCCCCTTACGGGCATTGACCAGAAGTCGCGGCGGGGACTTGGGCCAGTTGTGAGCCCGGAGGGAAGGGGCTGTGAGACGGGGAAGCGGGCGCGGGGCGGATGCGCCTCGAGTCCTCCCTCCTGGCCGGGCAGGGAGGCGGGACCCCGGCCGGCGGCGGGGCGGGAGGGCGCGGCCCCGAGCCTGCCCGAGAGGGCGCTGACCACTGCTCGGCCTTGGGTACGCAGACCAGTTCGTGAGACGCAAGAAGAAGGCGGCGGCAGCCTCCGGAGGGAAGAAGCGGTCCCGGTACAGCAAGGACTACACGGAGGGCTGGGTGGAGTTCCGCGACAAGCGCGTGGCCAAGCGGGTGGCGGCCAGCCTGCACAACACTCCCATGGGCACCCGCCGGCGCAGCCCCTTCCGCTACGACCTGTGGAACCTCAAGGTGAGGAGGGCCGCCGGGTCTCTGGCCCGCCCACACCCGCCCGCCCCCTCCGGACCTGTCCCGAGCTTTCCTTGTCTTGTCGCCCACAGTACCTGCACCGGTTTACCTGGTCCCACCTCAGTGAACACCTGGCCTTTGAGCGCCAGGTGCGACGCCAGCGCCTGAGAGCAGAGGTGGCCCAGGCCAAGCGCGAGACGGACTTCTATCTCCGGAGTGTGGAGCGGGGACAGCGCTTCCTGGCCGCCGAGGGGGATCCTAGCCGCCCCGACGGCTCCTGGGCGTTTGCCCAGCGACCCACGGAACAGGAGCTGAGGGCCCGGAAGGCCGCGCGGCCGGGGGGGCGTGAACGGGCCCGCCTGGCCGCAGTGCAGGACCAGGCCCGCTCCAACCGAGGGCTCCTGGCCAGAATCTTTGGAGCCCCACCACCCTCGGACAGTACGGAGGGACCTTCCCGGGCCAGGGACTCGTGAGGCCGGGGAGGCCGGTCACCTCCCGTGGCCGCTCCGCTTCCTGTCGACCTGGTGCTGGAATGACACCGACACCCAGGCAAACGTCTCGGGTCAAGCCCAGACGTGGAAGTTTTGTGGGCCTCCCCTCCTCTTTTGCCCAACTGCTGTAACTGCCGGCCTCAGTGACCTTATTCGTATTATTAGGATGGTTTTGACTATTGCTGATGTCTGCTTGATTTGGTAGCCTTCCTCTTGTTTAGTAGGGTCCCATAAAATGCCACGTTCTTGGCCCAGGAATGGCCTTTATATGTAGCTACAGTGGAAATGGATGGTCCAGGCAGTCTTGTTCTGTTTACTGAATACAGATAAGGGAGCAGCATCATTTTATTTAGAAAAACAGATATGAATTACTGGGTTATGTTTGGATTAGGAACCTCCTCCCTAATGTATTTATAGGGAAAAAAATGCTTTTATTTTTAAGAGTGAGAGTCATTTGGCAGATTTCAATTTTCATCTTGTGTTGCGTTCACTGATCTTCATTCCACCTCCTTGTCTTAAAGCCTTCATCCAACCTAGATCCTTTTTTCTTTCTCTGTTTACTTCCTTAGCCTAGAACATTTATCTAGTACATTTATTAAACCACAGTGGGAGACAGTGACAATGGGAGATAATGACCTTGGTGGTAAGAGTCTGACAGATCACTGGAATAAGATAGATGAGCATCATGGTAGAAGCATATAAGGGATAGAGTGGGACTAGGGCAGGACATGGAGTGCTCTCAGTGTGGAGCTGATTTCTGATAACGGGCAGCAGGAGGGTCAGTCTTCATGTCTCCCCAAGGTCAAATTGGGAAAATGGCAGAGCAGAATTCTGAACGAGTCTGGTTTGCTCCTATAGTTCAGACTGCTTCATAGATAGAGTGTTGGGGCAAACCATTGTAAATGACAGAGCTTGGAGGGAAGTTGGGATCAAAGATCTCTCAAGTGCACTTACATGTGTGTTGAGGCTCTGAGGGATTCACAAATACATGCAGAGCAGCCCTGATTACTTCAAAGAATCAGGATGAATCATCAAAATGAACTGCAAACTTGGGTGTCACCATACACTGAAGTCTATACTCAGTCTCAGATTAAAATATTATTATCCAGCAGGAAGTCCTTGTCAAGTGTAATTATAATTTGGTTTTGCTTGTGCTTTTTCTTTAGTTCTTGGAACCCCACCCCCACCCCCCATTAATGTAATTATCCTTGTTTTTTGGAGTGAAGTGGATTCATCCACTTCTTTGATTGTAAAATGGACATTATGATCTTACTTGAAAGTATGCTTTATTGGGAAAGTAAAAATGACCCTATGGTGAGCTTGGTATGACATTTCTCATAGCTCATGTTCTGTCCTTTCAGACTTAGTACACAAACATCTGTGTGGTGTTAGTACCATAATGTTGGGAACTTTGTGTCCTTGCTTCTGTGTTCATTCTTTGTGAGTTTGTTCCATGTGGATTGTTTCTTCAGGTCATTGTGCCTTCCAAAGTACCAGAGAAATCCAGCATCAGGATTTGATAAGCTGTTTTCCACATTTCTTTAGAATTACCAGTCCCTGTAGGCACCTGGGCTAGGTAAATAGATGTTAAGACAAGGAAGAAATTTCTTTCCCTCAAGTTGCCCACAGCTGAGAAAGTTAAAAAAAAAAAAAAAAGGTTTAGTGAGAGTTTCTTGAATGAGTGGATGTTTCCCAGGCTGGTGGCATCAGTATACTCAAGGGCCAGCATCTCAAGCTGCACTCCAAATCTCCAGCGAGCACAGCCCACCCTGTAGCCAGTCAAGCTGAGAGTCAGATGGAGGAAAATGGGTTACCCAGGAACTTTCATCTTGATTCCCTCTAGACTTGACACCCTTAGAGGCCAGGAAATAATTTTTTTAAGTGTCCAGGTGTGATGGCTTACCACTTCTTTTATTCCCCATATTTTTCCACATGGTTCTCTAGTGTGCATGTTTTGGGAGCTTATTGCATGAATTCCATGATAGAAGATGAAGGACACCTGCAAGTGTGAGTGGATTTACTGTCTAAGAAGAGCAAACTTTCTCAATCATGAACCCACCCGTGGTTTCCAGCTAAGAAGCTAGGACCCTACATTTCCTGGCATAAGAGTGGAGATCTTACTGAAGGGAGGGCTTATCTAGGCTAGGCCTGGACACCCTGTGAACTTACTCCTGCACCCACTCTTTCTCAGTGTGCTTTCCCACGATTCCTCTAACATTCTTTGAAGTTCTTATTATTGCAGTGGAGTGGGTGGGGGGCTCCTAGTGTAAGCCTTGGACGTGCTCATTCCCCACTAGAGTCAGTGTGAGTTTCAGCAGATAGAGACCCAGAATAAGATTTCTTGCCCCTTATGAGGAAGGCAAGTGTTGGATTTCTGTGGATGCATGATTTTCTTCCGCTTTGGGGCTATTGTCTTTCACTTCCAGACTCACTCTGAGACTGAGTAACTGGAAGCAAAAGAAGCGGGCTCTTTGCAACACATACTCTGAGTCCAGAACCTTGTACTAAGTCTGGTGAGTGCCCACGTGGTTTTCTTGGCCTGTCTCAGGCCAGCCAGGAGCAGGCGTGAGACCAAAAGAATCTTGGAGGCAGGGCTAACAGCGGAAGAGAGACCAGCACTTCTGGAGCCAAGGGCTGTGGAGAGGAGTGGCTGGCAGGCCATGTAGGTTGGCCCTTTTGCTTGGCACAGCAGCCCAGGCCATCCAAGCCACTCTTTAGCCCCTGCTTCCAGTCCAGAAGCCATGTGTGGTTCCTTCACTGTGAACCCCATCCATTTAGGAACAACTAATGTAGTCATAAGGCTCTCAGCTAGGGAAAACCTGATATCCACAATGAAACTAGACCCCTATGTCGCACCGCATTAAAAAATAATAATAAATTAGAATGGATCAAAGGCCTAGGTGTGAACCCTGAAACCATTAGAAAGCAGAGGACATCACAGTGGCACATGCCTGAAACTCCAGCTACTAAGAAGACTGAGGCAGAAGGATGCTAAGTTAGAAAATCATCTCAAAAATAAATTGGTCAGAGATATAATTCAGTCAGGAGAAATACTTCACAGTGTGTTTAGGCAATATTTTTTTTGTTTTTTTTTTTTGGGGGGGGGAGTGGGATTAGATCCTCAAAACAGGCAAAAGTGGTATTATGTCAAACTAAGATGCTTCTGCAAAGCAAAGGAAATGAGTGAAGAGAACCTGCAAAATGTGAGAAAATACTTTCAAACTACTTGAGAATTTAGTATCCAGAGTATATAAAGAATTCAAAATCACAACAGCAAATAACCCAGCAAAAAGATGAGCAAATGACCCGAACAGACATTTCACAAAAGCAGATTTACATATGGCGAACAAATATATGAAAAAAATGCTCAACATCTCTAATTATCAAGGCAATGTAAATCAAAACCATAGTGAGAATTCTCCCTCCAGTTAGAATGGTGATAATAAAAAAGAAAAAAGGTAAATGTTTTCAAGGATGTTGAGAAAGGAAAACTTACACTCTGTTGGTGGGAATGTAAATTAATACAACCATTATAGAAAATGACATGGGAGTCCCTCAAAGAGCTAAAAATAGAACTTCCATAAAATCCAGCAATCCCACTACAGGTATCCATCCAGAAGAAATCAGTATGTCACAGTGATAACACATCCTCATGTTTACTGCAGGATGATTCATGATAGCCAAGAAATGGAATCAGGAGTTGTCTAAGAACAGATGAATGCATAAGAAAAATGACATAAATACACAATTGTTATTCAGCCATAGAAAAGAATGAAATCTGTCCCAATGTGGATAGAACTGAAGGACATTACATTTGTGAAATAAGCCAGACACAGAAAGACAGAGACCACATGTTCTCATTCATGTGGAAACTAGAAAAATTGGCTTCGTGGAACAGAGCAGAATAGTGTCCATACAGACTAGGGTGGGGTAGGGAGAAGGGGAGCCAGAGGGAGGTCTGATAATAGGACCAAAATGCAGTTAGCTAGGCGGAATACATTCAAGTGCTCTACAATACAGTAGGTGACAATCGTTTACAACAATTTATTACATATTTTATAAAGAACTAGAAGAGAGGAGTTTGAGGATTCCCAATACAAATAAACAATAAATGTTTACGGAGATAAAAATGCCAATTACTCTGATTTGATCATTGCAAATAGTATTTGTGTATGTATTTATCACATTCCATAAATATGCATGATTATTGTTTCAATTAAAAATTTAAAAGGGGGAAGATGTTCTTTGCTGATGAAACTATTTTAGAACAGTTTGCTAAAACACATTTCTTAGAATAAATGGAATAAATACTATATTATCTATATACTATGTATGTAGATATAGTAATATAGTAATATAGATAGCAATATTATAACATTTTGCAGGGGGGCATGCAGTAGTACAATTTGATGATCTCCAATCTTTTAACCACTGTGTGGAATTTCATTGTTTGTATCATTAAAGTTCTAACCATTTGTTAACATAAATATTTAGGTTGTCTCTGATTATTTTCTATTTTAGAAATATTGTAATGAACATCCATGAGTATGTGTATTGAAGTATTTGGATTGAAATTGTTGACTCCAGTGTCATTTACATTGTAATTTTTTATAGGAAAACTGATTGAGACAATAAATACTGTATGGCAAGGACCTTTCTCCAGTTTTGCCAACAGTGATAATCACTTTTCAATGAATGCTTTGGTGAATACAATGAATACAGTTTTACTTAACCATTAAATGTTCTATTTAGCACCAAAACTCTGTGTGTGTGTGTGTGTGTGTGTGTGTGTGTGTGTGTGTGTGTTTTGCTGGGGATTGGACCCAGGGCCTTGTGCATGCGAGGAAGGCCCTCTACCAACTGAACTATGTCCCCAGCCCACAAAAATGACTTCTTTGAGAATCCAGCACTTCTAATTGTATCAGGCACCTTGTGACACTCAATGTATCTGTCATGGTGCTGAGGCTGTGGCTCAGCAGGTAGCATGCTTGTCTGGAGTGCATGAGGCACTGGGTTTGATCCTCGGCACCACATATAAATAAATAAATGTCTATTGACAACTAAAAAATACATATATTTAAAAAAAAAAACACGCTTGTCAATGTATCTGTCATGAATGATCCCTTAATGCTACATTGGTCTATTTATCTCTTTTTGCCCCCAGACCTCAATGTGTCCTTACTGTAAATTAATGCAAAAGTCCTCCACTGTTGTTCTTTTTCCTTCATCTTGACTTGGCTGTTTGCATTTCCATAGAATCATTGTCAATTTACACAGAAAATCTTGCTGTGGCTTTGCGATTGTATTTAATCTACAGATCAGTTTGGGGAGAATTGACATCTATGATACATTGAATTTTCCAATTACTGGCTTGATCTTTCATTTGTTTAGTCTTTCTTAAATTTCCCTCAAAAATATATATATTTTTCAGCATAGTGAAGTAGGCCTTTTCAAAAGGTGGAATCCCTAGAACCTGTGAATGTTACTTTGTGTAGGACTTTGCAGACAGACACGATAAAATCGAGGATCTTGAGGTGGGGAGTTTGGATTATCCGGGTGGAACCTAATTTTAATCACAAATACTCCCTTCAGAGGGTTGACTTGAGCGTGGCAATCAGTGGAACTGGCTGGGTGGGTTGTAGTGGTGGGAATACAGCCTGTCTAAAGGTGCAGTCGGACTGCAGTGGAAGGTAGCCCTGGCACTTGGCTGTGTCTTGGAGACCCTATTAGGAACCGAGGGAACTGGTCACTCCGGGAAGACAGACTTCAGATAAGGCCGGCTCCAGCCTGCGTGGTCCCCGGGTCCGACTGGGAAGTAAGAAAAGTGACCCCAGGAGCTGGCGCCCGCCACAGCACGTCCCTGGGTGGGCTCGAACCACCAACCTTTCGGTTAACAGCCGAACGCGCTAACCGATTGCGCCACAGAGACGCGGCTGCCGGCCATCTTCCCCCGGTTCTATCTACAGGACTTGCCTCTCCCCTGCGGGCGGGAACTGGAGAGGCGTCGCCGGCTCCGCTCTGGTTTCCGCTGCTCACGTCCCGGCGCCGCTTCCCAGCAAACGAACGAGGGCTACTCCGTGTGGTCTGCGGCTGCCGCGC